TCATGCCAATCCTATAATTCAAATCGTTCTCGCATGGTGTTATTATTGTGGTAAATGGGTCGAAAAGGATGAACACAGAGCATTCGTTTATTGTCAAAAATCTGCCGAAATGAGATATTCTGATGCAATAAATGACCTTGGATATTTCTATCAACATGGAATAGGTGTTGAAAAGGATGAACACAAAGCATTCGTTTATTATCAAAAATCTGCCGAGATGGGGGATTCTGATGGAATATACAGCCTTGGAATTTGTTATCGACATGGAATAGGGGTTGAAAAAGATGAAAATAAGGCATTCATTCATTATCAAAAATCCGCAGAAATGGGAAATTCTAATGCAATAAATAAACTCGGATACTGTTATCGGCATGGAATAGGGGTTGAAAAGGATGAACATAAGGCATTCGTTAATTATCAAAAATCTGCAGAGATGGGAAATTCTAATGCAATATATTACCTTGGACATTGCTATTTTGATGGAATAGGAGTTGAAAGGGATAGACAAAAGGCATTCGTTAATTATCAAAAATCTGCTGAAATGGGAAATGCTACTGCAATATGTGATCTCGCAGATTATTATCAAAATGGAATATGGGTGAAAAAGGATGAACATCAGGCATTCGTTAATTATCAAAAATCTGCTGAATTGGGATATGCTCGAGAAATATATAATATTGGACATTGCTATCTGTATGGAATTGGGATTGAAAAGGATAATTATAAAGCATTTCTTCATTACCAAAAATCCGCTGAGATGGGATATATTAACGGAATGTCTAAACTTGGATATTGTTATAGAAATGGGATTGGAGTTTCGAGATATTTACAAAAGGCTGACTATTGGTATCAAATGTAAATAATCGGTTTATTTAAGTTTTACTGTAATTATAATATTTTAACATGTATTTTCTAATAATTATTAGTGCAAATAATAAGATTTTGTGTAATTTTAAAGCTATTTAATTTACTTTCGATATAGTATAACTTAATTTACTAATGCTTTTTTTTTTTTATAGTCATAGGTGAATGGACCAAATAAAATTCTAACATTGATAATGATGTTAAAAAATTATTGGTTGAAGGAAAATATCCACTATCATGGATTTCAAATAAAGAGTTTAGGAATGTTAGAAAAATAGGACAAGGTGGATTTGCAACAGTATTTTATGCCAGATGGTCGGGTAATAAACAACATACTCGGAGAAATGTGGCGCTCAAATTAATCAATGGATCAAAATCTTATAACAAGGGATTTATTAAAGAGGTGATTTTTATTATATGCTCATTATTTTCTTCAATAATTTTTAAATACTAAATACTTTGTTTTTTATTTAAAAACATTAAAGTTAAAAGCGTACTGTGATATTAGTTCTAAACATCCTTCATTTTTAAAATGCTATGGTATATCAAAAGATGATTCTGGAAATTATATACTTGTTTTAGAATATGCAAAAAGGGGTTCTTTGCGTCAAAATCTTCGTTCTGTAGCACAAATGAAATGGAAAGATAAATTAACATTATTACATTGTATTGCTTCTGATCTTCAAATAATTCATTCTCAAGGACTTATCCATCGAGATTTGCATACTACAAGATTATTTATATAATGCTTATATTGTAGATTTGGGACTTTCCATATCAGTAAATATAGCATTAAATGAAGAAAGACGTGGAATTTATGGAATTTTACCGTACATTGCACCAGAATCTTTAGATAGAGGTTATTATTCAACAGCATCAGATATTTATTCATTTGGCATAATTATGTGGGAAATATTTATGGAAAACCTGTATCTTATGATCGTGAATTTGGATCACAACTTCAAATTGAAATATGCAGTAACGACTTACGGCCAACTATTATTGAGAATACTCCACAATGTTACATAAATCTGATGAAAAAATGCTGGGAAAGGGAAGCAATAAACCGTCCATCAGCAACAAAAATCTATGAAATACTTGAAGAATGGCAGAGTGACGAAAATATTTTATTAGAACTAAGTAAATCGGATGAAATAATTAAAAGTACACATATACAGACGTATCCTGATGATAGTTATAAAAGCAGTAAATTTATTAGCTATAGTACATCGCTTTATCAAGGTATCTATATATTTATTATTTTGCATTAATAAGATTTATTCTTTAATAGGGTAGTTTCAAGAACAAGGAACCCAGTGATATTTTCGGGATAATCACATCACATGATTAAGTGTTCGGCCTAAGTTAGGGTAGTTAGGGTAGTTAGGGTTAGTGTTAGGGTTAGGTGATAGGTTAGTTTAGGCTAATTTTTTAGTGCTAGTAAACAAATGACGTCATGCATGTGATGTGATGATCACTGGGTTCCGTGTTCTTGAAGTGTCCCTCATGATCATAAATTATCGGATAACACCATTATTGGTTAGGGTTTAAAAAATATGCACGTGGGTATTAAACGGCGACGCAGATTGTGCCGCAAAGCGGCATGATCTAAGCCAATCACTTGTCGCCGTTTAATACCCACGTGCATATCCAATAACGGTATTATTGTGAAGCAGTTATTGACGATTATACTATTTTTTCACTTTCGTATAATTTACGTCATCAAATATAAACTTTTCTTTTCTGTGTCCTTTTTTTTTTAGGGACAAAATTTTAAGCTATAAAAAAAAAGTTGATAAATCAGTGATGACGTAAACTGTACAAATATGAAAATTTTTAGTGCAGTCGTCAATAACATGGCTGCACAATAATAAAGTAGAACGTATTACATTTGTAAAAATTCATTTTATTTCACATTTACAATTGAATTTTATGCCAGTTAACGGTAGATGTCTATTGCATTCTTTAGATTCATGTACATTAATCACTTTATTTAAATGAACTTTAAAATTTCTTGAAATTAAATCAGTATAATAATTTGAGCTTTTTTTTACGCTGAAGATAGTACAGTATAAAGAATTCTGCTTTACATCGTAAATGATATGCCGATGTCAAACGCGGTCAATCGTTCCGCAGAAATTGGTCAAGCAACCAGCCAACAGGATACAGGTACGAAAGAAGCGTGCTAGATTTGTAAATTAACGAATGTAGTTTATAATAACATGACATAGGTACTTTATTATTTAGGTAAAGTGAGAACTCTTTATTATTCCCAGGGGCTAGTATGGCCTTTATTTATAATAATTATTTTTGTCACAAGAACCAACTATACTATTACATCACGAAGTTGCTTTTTTATAAAATCTACATAGATCTATCAAGTTATATAAATGTTATATAAAATTTTTATTTAGATTTACAAACCCAATGTAGACTTACATAGTTATAATTTTTATGTATAACTTAATATAATATTTATATAAATTTTATTTATTATTTATATAAATATAAAAATTATATAAATTTTATTTATATCTACATAAAAATGAATTAATTTACTTTGGCTATTTCTCAAAAATGACTAAGGTAATCAGTGTTAGATATGCTAAGTAAAAATGTTCAGCAGGCCAGAAAACACTCCCCAAACCCCTAATTTAAACTTTAAAATCCATTTCTAGCTTTAATATTTAAGTTGAAATTTTTTCGAAATTTTACATAACTCTACATAGATTTATACATAGATTTATATAAATATCTATGTAAATCTACATTGGGTTCATAAAGCTACATAAAAATTCTATGAAACTCTACATAAAAATTCTATGTAACTCTATGTAAAAACAACTTCATGATGTTACATAAACATTTAAATGGCATGTATAAACAAACAGTATTTTTTTGTTTTATTTTTCGTGCACTGTTACCATAGAACCTATACTAATTATCATTCGTAGCTAAATGCCAAAATTTACAGAAGAGTTTATCTGAGTGCAACCTCTCTAGATGTATTTAGGCCTAAATATATACTTAATTTTATAAACACATTTTTTTTATTTGCTCTTTGATGCATTTTGTCAAAAGACTGGTTCCTAAATGTTGCAATTAAAGGTTTACTATATCTTGGCGAATATGCGAGGCTTAATTAAGTTATACAAGATTAATTAATCTTCTCTATTTACAATGATTCTCTTTAACGATAAGCAACGTAAAATAGATTTCATATCTAACATTATTCTAAAATTTTTCTATATAAGTGGGCCTTTGGACTTCACCAGTTCTGCACGAATTGTTGTTTCTTAAAAACATTCGTATATGGTCTAATCCAAATTATATTTACCTAAGATCAACTTTATAATAGAAAAAAGAAAAAAAATTTTTTTTTTAATAAACAATTCATTAAACAAATTCTTTTAAACCATGAAGTTCAATATTGCTACCGTATCTTTGGTTCTTCTTGCCACCAGTGCTATGGCTGTTCCAACTCCAAATGACACCAAGGATTTAGATAAATGCTTTTTTTACATATTCAATTACTTATATTTTATGTTCAATAACTTATTTATTAATATAAGATTCATTCTTGTTCGATAGATTTGGCTCTTGAAAAGCATTCTGGTAAATACGAAGAAAGAAAAGCAAAAGAAGACACCACCAAGGCGAAAAAGGTTACTAAGAAGCATAATGCAAATGAAAAGACCAAGAAAAAGGTTGCAAAGAATGCTAAACACATAAGCGTGAAAGAGAACCAAGCTGAAATAAGCGAAAGACAAGGTGCAAAGAAGGAGTCTCAAGCTGATTTAAAAGTTAATAAAGACAGAACTAAACAGACTTATTATGAAAAGAATTTGGACCACAAAAAAGAGAAATTGCAACATTATAAAAGTAAACAGCAACACAATAAAGATGGACAAAAGAAATACAAAGCCAATGAAGCAACTTATGGATCTAAGGATAATAAACACACAAATAAGAAGTTGAACCAAGATACATACAACGAGGAACATGACACAAAGATCAAGCAGAATAACAATGCGAAAGCTAAACTCTCAAAAGGAAATGAGAAATCACGTGAAAAGCATGTGAAAGATACTCATAAGAAAGTGAATACCGATGAAAAGAAAGAGAAGGCTAGTGTTAAGAATGATAAAAATGTAGAAAAGAAAGATGAAGGTCAAGAAGAGGAAAATAATCAGCATGAAGTTGAAGGAGAAAAGGTTCAATAAAGGGAAAGAAAGAAGATAAACTTTGTGAAGAAGCAAGAATACCATAAATAAGATAATTATTTAATTCAACTAATTTGAAGCCTTGATCAAATATTTCATAATAGTGAATATTAATTTGTGAAATCTAGATATAATTTTTTAATATTGCATGCATCTAATTATAGACCTAATACCATTATTATTATATTACTCTTATGTACCGGTAATCTAATGTTTCTAATCTCGTAATAAATTTTATATCGTATAATCAATAGAATATCATATAACAGTTCATTTTTTTAGTCACTTAGCTATTAGCCAGTGACATTCTAAACAAATGATTACATTACTTGGGCTCTGTTACAATTATCTAAAAGGTCACATTAACAATCATTTGACCAACAAAATTTCTACAATCATATAATACACTATATATATTGTAATGAGATTGTTGTTATAAATAATATTAAGGAGACGTTAGTGCTCCGAGTTGATAAAACTTTTGTAAATCGATTAGTTGCCAACTAAGTTGGCAACTAATCGATTAAAGGTATCACGTGAAAGTTAATTAATCAGTTGTTTAGTATATAAACACGGAAAATTTATGGTAATGTTTGAGTTTTATTATTATTATTATCATTATTGGTTTTCATTGATCTATCGACTACACGAACAGATATTACTGGAAATATCAGTATTGTACTGTACATGGAATAGTAGGGACAGAGTAATTTTTTCCCGACGATAAAATCATGCAGAACGAACACGAGCAGGTTAACAACCACTTCTGCACTTGCAAATTTAAATAAATAATTAGAAATCGAACCAGATAAATGAATTTACATTAAAAGGGCTGCCGTCAATAGAAATCAAGCAAATCTACATTCAAAAAAAAAAAAAAATCAATGCCTTAACTTTCATAGATCATATCTCGATGAATTTTAAAGCTATCTTGATATTTTAACATTCAAATTAAAGCTTAGGTAGCGAACTTTCATTTGAATATTAAAGCATCAATATAGCTTTAAAATTCATCGAGATATGAGCTGTGAAAGTTAAGGCATTGAATTTTTTTAAAATGTAGATTTGCTTGATTTCTATTGACGGCAGCCCAAAATATCGTGAAAATGTTTATTGCATATGAAGATAATAATGAATCACTTGTGGATTTAACTAAAGCGTTATATACTGAACAAATAGTGCATTTACTGTAATTATTACGATTACTAGTAGTTGATTATATAAGTTATAGTTGTTTGGCAACTAGTTGATAAATAATTAATCGTAATCGAACCTGTTGATAATAAATCAATTAGTTAGAAAGTTGCCAACTAGTTGATTTTTCAACTAACAATTTGGAACACTAGGAGACGTACAAGTTTTTACAAGTTACAATTTCAGGAATCTGATCAAAAAGCCAGAAATATTCATATCGCTAAACCTATTACATATAAGATATTTTGAAAAAATCAACTGATTACTTTAGTGCTTATTGCAAAGAATAAATTTATAGGCCAGCTTTTGAAATAATGCTTTAATATATAATTGTTAGGAGAAACCCTTTACGCAAAATAACGATAAATAAATACTTTATCGATCATAAATTATTAGCAAAAAATTAACAGAATGAATAGACTTATGTGTAATAAACCTGTCTGGTTAATGAACATGTGAAAAGACGAAAACTAAATTCAGAATGACGAACCTCGAACCCTAAAATCCAAATGACGAAAAATGACGAAACAAAACCCTAGTTGGGTTGAAAATTACATAAATTACAATAAACTTACACTATAACTTACAAAATTTGTAATGTAATATCACATTTGATACAGTGAAACAAACCTCCATAAGTGCACGCTCTTGGGACTGAACGTTAACAACGTGCATTTAGAAGACAATAAGAAAAAGTGCATTTATAGAGGTCATATATATATCTAGGCCAGAGATTGAGAGAGTGTGTGCATTTATAGAGGTCATGTATATATCTAGGCCAGAGATTGAGAGAGTGTGTGCATTTATAGAGGTTTCACTGGAATGGATTAACACATGATTGTTGTACCAAATTATGAAGTTTGACCATTATTATCACTATGTTCGGAACTATAATTTATATTCAAAAGTATAATGAAAGTTTGGCTACATTATACACATGATATAAAAACTACATGAAATTGGGTTTCGGAAAACTCACACAAATTACTTAAACTACACAAAATTACAACCCTAAGCATACCATAAATATGTACAAGGATGTCAGTTCGGATGGTAATTCCAGAATTCAAAAAATTTCTTAATTATTTGACTTACGTACGTACGTTATTATGTCATTTTGCAATCGGAAAACCACTTATTCTTTATACAATATTTCGTTAATGCCAACAATATCGATAATAATAATATGCTATAAAGTAGACATTTCCTTTGCACTGCATTTTTAGTTGTTATTAAGAGGGATTGCATTTTTTTATTTACTGATTCTACTTCAAATTTAACATTTCCCCAATAATCACGCAACAAAACATGAGTTTATATGAAATTTACTTAATCCGCTTAAGGTTCTTTAAATAGCTTTTACGAATTTGTATTTCGCAAGGAAAAATTTTCTTAGTTTATTAAATAACCTTTTAGCGTTACTTTAATCATCATAAATAATTATAGCCAACCCTTTTTATAACGAGCTGAAGGTATTAAAGACTTTATTGAATAAATTATTGAGTTTTTTTTTTATATAATATATAAACCTGTTAAGTATTTTTTTTTTGTTAAAAAAAAAGTTCGGTAAATAAATTTTATTAACATTCGCTAAAATAATTTCGGATTTTGTTCAACTAAGTGGTCGTCGGGATTATCACATGATCATTCGGAGCATAACCTTGTACATATTTACGGCATGCTAGAAAATCAAATGAATAACTTGCCGGAGGCGTGATGTTGGTGATTTGGTTAATACGTATCTCAGATATCCTTAAGAAAGGGATATATTGTCGAATTAGTATTTTCTTATGTGCACCTAAGTGATGTATCCAACCTTGCCCAAGCTAATGATGCCTGACGAATGACGAAACGGTTTCGTCAGGCAACGTCATGACGAATTATGAACCTTGTAACGAATGATGAAATTCATGATGAATGACGGAACTCATGACTAAACATAAATTTATATGACAAATGTATGAAAACTAAAGGTGATTTATCCAACAGGGGGGAACGTTGAACGTCATAAAATTGTTACACAATTGATAAAAAATTTTTTTATATTATTTTACAATACTTTTTTGGAAGG